TGGGGCTCGAACTCCGGTCCTTGCGTTTGGCAGGCAGCAGAACCACTGAGCTAAATCTCCAGCCCTATTTTTGGTTTTCTGAGGAAACTTCACATTCATTTCCGTAGTGGCTGTGCTAATTTACATTCCCTCCAGCAGTGTAGAAAGTTCCATCCCTTCTTCTCATTCTCACCAGCATTTACTAATTTTTGCATTCTTGATGACAGCCATTTTCCTAAAGGCTAAAGACTAGGAACATTTTTTCATATATGTATCGGCTATGTGTACATCTTTTGAGAAGTGTGTGTTCAATTCATTTGCCCATTTATTAATTGGACTGTTGTTTTGGAGAGGTTATTTTTTTTGAAGTCTTTTTATATTCATGATATTAACAGTCTATCAGAAGAGTATCTGGCAAAGATTATCTATCACTCTGTAGGTTGACTCTTCAATCTGTTAGTTGTTTCCTTTGCTGTGCAGAAATTTTTCAATTTCCTGTAGTCTTTTTTTTTTTTTTTTTTTTTAATGGTACTGGGATTGAACCCATCCTGAGCTACATTCCCACTTCTTTTTGATTTTTAAATTTTGAGACAGTTTTGCTAAATCATTAAATTGCCCATGCTGGGTTGCACTTGCTCTTTCTTTTCTTTTTTTTTAAAGTACTGCGGATCGAACTCGGGACCTTGTTCTTGCAAAGCAGGCAGCAGAACCACTGAGCTAAATCCCTGGCCCTAAACTTGTGATCATCCTCCTACCTCAGGCTTCCAGGATGCTGGGATTTTAGGCATGCACCACCATGCGTGGTCCACTTGTCAATTCTTGCAATTATTTCTTGTGCTGCTGGAGTCCTATTCAAGAAGTCTATGACTTCAAGTGTTTCACCTAAGTGTTTCTAGCAGTTTCGAAGTTTCAAGTGTACACCTAAGTCTTTGATCTATTTTGAATTGATTTTTTGTACGGAGTGAGAGATAGGGGCCTACTTTCAGTCTTCTACTTTTGGATATCCAACTTTCACAGCACCATTTATTAAGGAGGCTATCTTTTCTCCTGTGTATATTTTTGGCCCCTTTATCAAGAATCAGATGATTGTGGTTGTGTGGGTTTGTTTCTGTGGCCTCTGTTCTGTTCCATTGGTCTGTGTCTATTTCTGTGCCAGTACCATGCTGGTTTTGTCTCTGACTTTGTAGTTGGTTACTGTGAAACCTCCATAGCCTTACTCTTTGCTTAGGATTGCTTTGACTAGTCTTCATCTTTCGTGTTTCCATATGAATTTTAGGATTTTTTTTCTAGCTCTATGAAGAATGTCATTAGAATTTTGTTGGGGGAGTGCATTGAATTTGCATATTGCATTCAGTAATATTAATTCTGTTGACTCATGTATATGGGAAGGCTTTCTATCTTTTAGTGTTTTCTACTTTTCTTTCAGTAATTTTCATTGTAGCAGTCTTTTACCTCCTGGTTTATGTTGATTCCTAGGTTATTTATTAATTTATTTTTGAAGCTGTGGTAACTAGCATTGTTTTCCTGATTTTTTTTCTTGGCCTATTAATTACTTATTTCTTAATATTTATTTTGTATCCTGCAACTTTGTTGAATTCATTTATCAGCCCAAGTCTTTTGGTGGACTCTTTAGAGCCTTCTAAGTATAAGATCATGTTGTCTGTAAATAAGAATAATTTGACTTCTTCTTTATTTGTATTCCCTTTACTTCTTTCTCTTGCCTAGGCAGAGAAAGGGAAATCCATGTACTACGTTGAGTAGGACTGGTGAGAATGGGCATTCTTGTCTTGTTTTTATTTTATTTTATTTTATTTTTGGCACTGGAGATTGAACTCAGGACCTTGCACTTGCAAGGCAGGCGGTGGAACCCTGAGCTAAATCCCCAGCCCTTGTTTTGATTTTAGGGGAAATGCATTCAGTTTTCCCCCATTCAGTATGACCCTGAATAAACTGTTGAATGTAAAAATTAACACATGCATAGAAAGAATAGTTTTGGATACTCAGTTTAAAGGGTAATTGTCATTTTAAAAAGAAAAAAATGTCTGACTTTTTTCTCTTTTTGTGCAATACCTAAATACTCTGATTTTATAATCAGATTCTTATTTTTCATTTTGAGAAAAAAATTGCATTTCTAATTTAGAAAGAACAACTGTGTCCTTAGGGTTCCAGTTTTATTTTGTTTTGGTTTTGGTTTTTTTTGGTACCAGGGATTGAACTTGTGTTGTTGTGCTTGCGAGGCAGGCAGGGGAACCACTGAGCTAAATCCCTGGCCCTCTTTTTGGTTTTTTGAGACAGGGTCTCACTATGTAGTTGAGACTGACCTGGAGCTCACTATGTAGCCCAGGCTGGTCTCGAACTCACAGGATCCTCCTGCCTCAGCCTCCCGAGTGCTGGGATTATAGGTGTGCGCCACCACCCCCGGCTAGGGTTCTAGTTTTAGGTACCCAGGTGGCTGTGAGTTTTCTGAATGGAACTCAGCCCTTTGTTCCCTCATGCAGTCCACCTGCTCCTTCCTTGAGCCCTCGTGAATTACCATAGTGAATTACAAAACTCATCACTTAAAACAACACAGCTTTATTAAGTCACAGTTCTTTAGGTCAGAGGTCTCCTGTGGTTCTCTTGGGGCTAAAATCAAGGTGCCACAGGGTGGTGGTTCCTTCTGTTTCCGCAAACAGCTGTGCAGCTCGATTTAGCAACATGCACACTTTAGTATTTAAGGGAGAGCAAGGAATGCCTGTAACTTCCTGTGTAATGTGCCAGAAGTAGTATGGACTGATAGCTAGAGATTGTCAATATTCCACGGAGTAAGCACAGTAAAGCCTTAAGGATATCTAATGTTTTAGAGTCATGGCTATTGTTGTCATAGTTCTTCATTTTTATGTTTGAAGAAATCTTTTAACAGAATGAAAACATTGTGGGTAATGCTATTAGCCAGGTAGAGTCAGCCTTTTGTTCATTTACATACATCTGCACAAGTTCAGTGGTTCTCAGTGGAGGTGATTTTGCCCCCAGGGAACACTTACTGAAGCTGAAGACATTTTTAGTTGTTACAACTGGGGCATGGCTGCTGGCTTCTGTGGGCAGAGGCCAGGGATGACACTAAATGTCTCCCAGTGCACAGGAAAACCCTGCAGCAAAGAGTTTGGCCTCACTGTCAAGAGCACTGACAATGCAGAGAACCTGACAAAGGTATGCATATCCGAATGCATGTGTTCACACATATAAATGTGTGTGTCCACAAACATTTTATACCGTCTGAGTTACTTTCTCATTGCTGGAACAAAATACCAAACAACCACAAGTTAAAGGAGGAAAGGTTTATTTTAGTTCACAGTTTGTTTAAGTCCATGCTCAGCTGGTGTGAAGGCAGGGTCAAAAGTCGAGAAGAAACAGTCCTCAGCGGGGTAGACAGGAGGCAGGAAGCAGAGAGCCTACATTCCCTCTCTCCCTTTATATTCCACCCAGGCTACAAGCCTGTGGGTTGGTGCCACCCAGACCCAAGGTGGGGCCTTTGTCTTCAGTAAATCCATTTAGGCACACACAGAACTACGCAGATACAATCAGTGGGCTGATCCAGTATCACAAACCCTAGATCCAGCCACCTTTGAAAAGCCCCACCTATGAGCACATGAGGCTTTGAAGGGACATCTAGATACAAGCTGTAATATGTACTTCACACACACACACACACACACACACACACACACACACACACGCACACAATACCGGGGATGGACCCAATGCTTTTGAGGCAGGCAGCAGAACCACTGAGCTAAATCCCTTGCCCCTGAGCTAAATCCCAGCCTGACTTTATATATATATGTGTGGGTTTTTTTTTGGTTTTTTGAAACAGGGTCTCACTATGTAGTTGAGACTGACCTGGAACTCACTATGTAGCTCAGGCTGGTCTCAAACTAATAGCGATCCTTCTGCCTCGGCCTCCAGAGTGCTGGGATTACAGGCATGTGCCACCACGCCTGGCGACTTACATATACTTTAAATAAAATTTGAATTTACAAGTTTATAACTCACATTTTCATAATGTATTTTTATTTTCCTGAGTAGTGAAATTGTCTTTCACATTGTTCCATTTTAACGGGGATTATAGGTCATATTGTTGTGGTTTATTGCACCTCGTTCTATTCTGGCTTTTTATTTTAATTAATTAATTGATTGATAGCTCAGGCGTCTCAAACTAATAGCGATCCTTCTGCCTCGGCCTCCAGAGTGCTGGGATTACAGGCATGTGCCACCACGCCTGGCGACTTACATATACTTTAAATAAAATTTGAATTTACAAGTTTATAACTCACATTTTCATAATGTATTTTTATTTTCCTGAGTAGTGAAATTGTCTTTCACATTGTTCCATTTTAACGGGGATTATAGGTCATATTGTTGTGGTTTATTGCACCTCGTTCTATTCTGGCTTTTTATTTTAATTAATTAATTGATTGATTTTGAGACAAGGTCTTGCTATGTAGTCTAACTGGTCTTGAACTCAGTATGTAACCCAGACTCTTCTCAAATTTGCAGTGATCCACCTACCTCAGCCTCCTGAGTGCTGGGATTACAGGCGTGTGCCACCCACTCTTAGCTTGATTCTGGCATTTTAGGTGATTTCCTCATCCTCAGGGGACCTCAGTAGCCTTGCGCTGTCCCTGTCAGATGAATCTCTGTTCTGCATTGTGAAGGTCCTGGTCACCTTTGGGACTGACGGGTGCCAGCTTTCTGCGTGACAGCATTTAGTCTTGGCATGTTCCAGGGTTATCTCAGAACTCAGCAAGCAGAGGCGGAGCCCCCAGAGTGGCATTTTACTAAGCCTGGATCATATCTGGACCTGGGGTGGGCAGAGCCCTACAGTCTGATTCCATGTCAGCCTCCACCTGTTCCCCAAGTCCTGCTTGGCTCCCCGGGACCCAACCTGACTTTAACCTCTGTCTTCTTTCAATTCCAGGCCTCTCGTTCTGATGAACAGAGACAGGAAGAATGGATTACAGTCACCAAACTTCTCTAGTCCCATGTGGGCGAGATAAATACATTTCCAAGTAAGAGTCTTTGCCACAGCATCATGTCTGCAGGGGCCAGTCCTGTGTGGGGCGTTGTGGGGGGCTAGGCGTTGCTGACAGAGGCCTCCCCTGTGTGTCATGAGTACGTGGAGGAGCTGAACCCCTGCACAAGGACGAGCAGGAGCTGTGGTGAGCCTGTGGCTGTGAATAAAAGCTGGACCCAAGCCTGGGGGGGATGTGGGGGACAAGACAGCACCTCTGGGGGTCCAACAGAGGCGGTCTCCTGTGAGGAGGAGCTGGCTGGTGGAATTTATATGTGGAATGGAATCCTAACCCCCAACTTGACTGTTAAGAAGTGAAGCTTTGGGAGATGATTGGATCAGGAGTGGGGCTCTCTGTGAGTGGGACTGGTGCCCTTAGAGAGGCCTTGGGAAGCCGGCTCACCCTCTGCAGTGTGAGCGTGCAGGGAGGAGGGCAGTCTGGGAGGAGCAGGCCGTCGCTTGGCAGTGCAGCTGCTGCACCTTGACCTTGGGAAGCCCGTTCTCTGGAGCCGTGGGAAGTGAGTTCCTGTGGTTTGCAAGCCCTCAGGGCTGTGGTTTTTCTGCCCCAGCAGCTGCAGCGGGCAGAGATGCTGCTTGTGCCCTGTGGTGCGGCCCAGGTCCTGGCTGGAGCGCTGTGTCCCTGGCTATGATGGCTGCGGGCACCCTCTGAACGGAAGAGACAGGTTCATTGCTTTCTGTGCACTGAAGTCTCTGGAACTGAGACTCTCGATGATGTGACAGAGATTAAGCCCAAAGTGGCTCTTTCCATAGTGAGCTTTTGGATCTCTTGTTACGTCCAGCACGAGGGTTACATATTAGATGCTCTCCATCTGAGATTGTTTGAGGTGAAATTGTTTTGGACTCACTATTTAGACTCGGTCATACACAAGTGCCTGCTGTGTGATCCAGAACAGAGCAAGTTCCTTCTCCTCCTCTTCCTCCTCCCTCTCTTCCTCCTCTTTCTCTTTTTTCTTGAAGTACTAGGAATTGAACCCCGGGCCTTCACACTGAACTCCCCTAAACTCCCCTAGGCAAAGCCTAGCTAAATTGCCCGGGTAAGACTTGAATTTGTGATCCTCCTGCCTCAGCCTCCCTGAGAGCTGGCATGCGCCACCACACTCTGCGTGCGATCCAGAACATTCTTACCTCTTCAGTGAAGGATTTCCCCAGGAATCTTACTGTTCAGTAATTGTACATCATAGTTTCATACCCTTGTAGTCATCAGCACCAGATGACCTTCTGTTTTACGTCATCTGGAGTTACACTTTCACTAACCCATCCCAGCTCGAATGGAATCACTCCTTTTTTTTTTTTTTAGTACTGGGAATCGAACTTGGGTCCTTGCACTTGCAGAGCAGGCACCGGAACCACTGAGCTAGATCCCCAGCCCTGGAATTACTTGTTATCTAGGTATAACTTGTCAGGAGTTCCTTGGAATTTCCAGTGGGTTTTGACTTCTGGTGTGGCCCCAAATCTCTCCACTGAATGATTGGGTAGAAGGATGTCGAACTCAGTCGCCTCTGGCCTGTGAGAAGGCAAAAGTACATGCAGGCAGAGCTGCTCTGCCTCTCTCTTCTTTCATCCCTTGAAGAACACAAGGACTGAGTAACAGAAGGCACTTCTGTCAGAGCAGAACCTTGCCCACTTGTACTCCCCGGTCCCCAAGTGGACCCATGGTCCCGAATCCTAACACCCATTACAAACTTCATGTAAGTGGCATCGTACAGTTGTCCTCTCTGAGTCTGGCTTCTGTCACTCAACATCTATGCTGTGCGTTGTTTTTCCATAAGTCATTGCTGTATAATGTAGCTTCCTTTATTCCTTCATTCTGTAGTTGATGGGACTTTATAGTTTTTTGTTGTCTTGTTGCGATTTTGTTTTTTGAGACACGGTCTCACTTTGTAGTCCAGGCTCCCTTGAACTTGAATCCGCCTGCCTCAGCTTCCCAAGTACTGGGATTACAAGCATGCATCACTATGCCTGGCTCGGGAGTTTGTAGCTTTCTTGAACACACAATGAGGTCTTGTTGATGAAGCCTAAGTTGTTGTTACCCAGACCTGTCCCTGTTGACCTTCTGGAAGGCCCAGGAGTTTCAATTCTGTGCTTTCTCCTCTCTCACAGCGTGCACGAGGGAGGGAGTAGTGGACAGGAGAAACATGTCTGTGGGCCTGGAGAGGTGCTTATCTCTGTGAATCTGTGACCTGTGTATGCCTGCTCCTTTCACAGGGTTGGGTCGTTGTCAGTGATGCCAGCCTCTGCCTGCAGATGAGGCTGCCTTGGGTCTGGAGTTGCTTCTTACTGAGTCTGTTCTGAGTTGACACTTGCCCTTGGCCGTTGGGAAGCCGGTGGTGTGTGTGTTCACCCACGTGGGTGTACACTCCTTGGGTGACTGGGGCCTGGTCAGAAGGGGAAAAGGGGCGGCTACACGGCAGGCAGCTTCAGATGAGAATGTCGTAATTTGCCCTCAGGAACGAACTTCTCCTGCACCTGAAGACCTACAACCTGTACTATGAGGGCCAGAACTTGCAGCTGCGACACCGGGAGGTGAGGCGTCCCCGGAGAAAGCCCAGCAGTTCTGCCCTGTGACCTGGGCCTGGCTTTGCCTCTATGAGTTCTGGGACTGCAGGGCCCTGGGGTCCTCGGGGGTCCCTTCCCCTCCTGCCATAGCGAGTGGCCTCTCTCTCAGGGTGTACGCAGGCATCTTTTGCAAGGAGGCCAGGCCAGATTTTGCTCCATTCCAGGCACAGGACAGTCCTGGGGTGGGGGTCCCCAGGGGAAGTTTTCAGGAAGCATCTTCTCAGATGGCTCCCAAACAGGTGTCCTCTTGCTGGGTGGGCCAGGAACCTTCTCCAGGCCTCTGGGTTTGTGCTCAGGTCTCAAGTCCTGTCACTGCAGCCACCAGGGGAGTTACATAAGCTCTGGGCGGTGACTCACTGTGGCCACCTTCTCAGAATGTGCTATGGTGCCCCTGACTTTCCCCAGCCCCCATCCCGAAGCTAAGCTTACTCATCCTGGATCCATTTCGGTAAAGTCCGTTATCAGATAGACAATGAGTTCCAAAGACATCTGGTAGAGTAATTTATACTCAAGTGTTCTTGACTGATAAGAAGGCTTGGGTAGTACCCTCTCCAACACATTTTCAGCCTATCAAGCCATGGCAATTTAATCCATAGAGACAGATAACACATGGTGGCATTTCAGCTGCTTAGGTAGGCTCTTGGGGGATAGATGTGGGAGGCATTGGCCTTTCTGTGTCCCTCAACTCCCCCTACCCTGTGAAGTCCTATCGTGGGTTAAATTCTGTCCTGCAGTTGTGAAGTGTAACGTCACGAAGCCAGCCCCGACCAGTGGGAAGACTATGAACAGCCTGTTCTAGCTAAAGCCTTGTTCCCCACCATCCTCAAATGCCTCAAATTCATTCCATTCCTCTCCTGACTTCCTGTACCCCCTTCCCCATCATCCTTTGGCCTGACTTAGTGACTCAATCACTTGTACCCATGGGGCCTGTCCTAAAGATGTGGTCACCATCCAGGGCTGACACCTGTGGGCTCTGCCTATAAAACAAGAATTTGGAAGGATTTTTCTGAGGCTGGAGAAAAGAAACCTGACCCATTTAGACATTGTCCTCGCAGTGTCCGATAATCAGTGATTGGACTATGGGCAAGATTGGGGGCCTCAAACAGCTTTCCTGGGGCATAGCTCATAGAATAAATCCTCATGGTGTCCCACGATTAAAGGGTTTCGTGGTTATAAATGGAATCTTTTTCTTTGGGATGGAATTTTAGCAATCTCTTAGGAACATTTTACATTTAGCTTCCTATTATTCAAGGAGCTCTGAGTATAAATTCCTGCAGGATTTATTCACCTCTTGGAGAGTCATGACGTAGCGCATGAGGTTATTAAGGCACTGGGAGTTCTGCTGAGAAATCTGATTAACACAGCCTCTTCCAGCTTGTGACCACTCAACACCCTTTTAAGGCAACAGTCTGAGTGCTGGAAGAGCTAGTGCTTCGTAGGAGCACTGCTTTAAATCTTCACCCAGCCAGCCAGGTTGCTGAAGATACATTAACAGCTTTCTGTAGTAGGGGAGGCAAAAGTAGCTAATGCAAGAACTCACTTCTTGCTTCTAATAGTAATCTTGTCTCACTTACTTGAAAAGATATACTCTGGCTTCCTAAAAGTCATTAAAATAAAGACAGCAAAATGTTTTCCTAATTTGTACTTGTGTATTTCAATTTCATAGCAACTTTGTTTCTTTTTTCTTTTCTTTTTTTTTTTTTTTTGTTTTTTGAGACAGGGTCTCACTGTATAGTTGAGACTGACCTGGAACTCACTATGTAGCCCAGGCCGGTCTCGACAAACTCACAGCGATCCTCCTGCCTCAGCCTCCCAAGTGCTGGGATTACAGGCGTGAGCCACCACATCCGGCGTCGTCTTTGTTTCTTGGTGGTGATGGTACTGGGCCTCATGCGGGCCATGCAAGTGCTCTACACTGGGCCACATCCCCAGCGTCTGTGGGGTGCTCTGTGAGGTCAGCTTCAGGATGGTGAACTTCACAGCAGAGTGCATCTTACAGCCAGGGCGGGTGAATCCCATCCACATCCGTGGATATAGTCAGGACGCCCAAAGGAGGCTGTCCTTGTCCCCAGGATGGGGTTGGCTCTGTGGGGCTCTTCCAGGTTCACCAGGCTGATTGCTCTGTGGGCAGGAAGAAGACGAGTTCATCGTGGAGGGGCTGCTGAATATCTCCTGGGGGCTGCGCCGGCCCATCCGGCTGCAGATGCAGGATGACAGCGAGCGCATCCGGCCCCCGCCCTCCTCGTCGTCCTGGCATTCAGGCTGCAACCTGGGGGCTCAGGGGTGAGTTGGGCTCCGCAGGCCTGGCAGGGACTGCGGGGGGTCTGTGTCCTTAAGCAGGTAAATGCCACTGTGCAGACAGCCTCGCTCCTTGACCCTGGTCCCGCCAAACACCTGTGCTGCTGCTTGCTTTGGCTTGGGATGCGGAGAGGGGCCCGTGTTGGTGTGACCCGGCCTCTGCCTTGTCTTCTCGGTGGATCTCCGAGTGAGGTCAGTGGAAGGAGGGAGATGCTCAATCGGCGGGGACTGGCCGCGCATGGGCGACAGTGTCCAGCCTCATGAGAGTCCCGGGGCTCTGGGGCATGTTTACTAGTGGCTCCCGGGGGTGGCCCGTGGATTTCCGATGGATCAGTGCCCCCATCCTCCGTGCTGCAGCCACTCCTCATGGAATGGCCCCACTCTGGGGACATTTAGAGGTTGGTGCTTCTGAAAAAGCCATCCCAGCTTGGGAGAGAGTTTTATCTTTCTTAAAAAAATTTTTGTTATTAGTGTGTGCTTGTGATAAGTACATTCCCCATGCAGAGTTGGCAAATAGATATATCTATCGCATTTTGATCCTTTTTACTTCCCTCCATTCCTTCCCGACTCCCCCATGTTCCGATCCCCTCCCCACCTCCACAAAGTCCTGTTTCCTATCATCTGTGAGTTTGCTTTTTCAGTTATTTAGACTTTGGGTTCCATGCCCATTTTTCTGCACCCTCCGTGGCCAAGAGCATGGGGAAAGGGTCTCGCATGCCACTCCCTGATGTCTTTCTGGGACGTCAGCTCTGAGGATCAAGTGACTGGCTTTGTTCCTCCTGAAACTTGCTGATGTTGGCAGCCATCAGGCCAGAGCCCTGGTGGGGTGTGCCTGCCTCTCAGCCAAAACCACAGTGATATTTTTTTCTAGTTAAACGAGAATCAAGCCTTTTCTCTCTGTTGGCCCGTGGAACATTTTGTTAAACCCCACGGCCAAATCCCTCTTTCTGTATGATTGAGGAATACTTCTTGGTGTGGGTGGCCAAGTCCCCAAGCTGATCTGGTTTCTTTCCAAGACAATTTAAGCAGGAAAGTTGTTGCCCACCCCAGTGGGTGCTCGGATGTCTGGTCCAAGTTCTTTGGTTTTCTCTAACTTCGCTGTTTTCACACTGCTTTGCATTCAGCATTTCGGCTGGATTTGATTTTGATTTCCAGTGGGCCAAACCCCGTCCACTGCCTGAGCCCGACCCCGCTCTGTAACATTCCGTTCTCTTCGTGAGATGGTATTTGAAATTCCACTTGACTGTGGACTCTTGGGCTGGGCCTCTGAAGAGCCCTTCGGGCTGCACACTTGTTTCTTCTCTGTGCCCTGTGGTATGGAGCAGGTCTTGGTGGACCTTGGAACCTACAGATGCCTTGAGAGTTTCCAAGAATGTGGCCCAGATGTCAGCTAACATAAAGCAAATGCCTGGATGGCTATGTTAAGAAAGATGCTGAGGCCAGTTTCTGTTTCAGTGAGAAAGAGGCTTTGTTTGTTTTTTTGAGACAGGGTCTCACTATGTAGTTGAGACTGACCTGGAACTTACTGTGTAACCCAGGCTGGTCTCAAACTCACAGCGATCCTCCCACCTCAGCCTCCCAAGTGCTGGGATTACAGGTGTGCGCCACCAAGCCCAAGCTGAGGCTTTGGATCAGGAAGTGGGGAGCGATGGCTGTGGGTGCCAGTGATTCATCAGTCTCTCGGAGGCTCTGGCTAGATCTACTTAGGGGCTCAAAAGGCCATGAGCTATATTACAAGAGAAACGGATTTATTTATTTACTTTTTTTGAGATAAGGTCTTGCCACATAGCTCAGGCTGGGCTTGAACTTGTGGAGATTCTCGTGTCTCAGCCTCCTGAGTGCTGTGATTACAGGCATGGGCCACCATGCCTGGCACTCTTTCAGATTTTCAGTTTCCGTTGTCTTCCCTGGAAACCATCTTCTTGGAACATACAGCCTGTCTCTGTTGGGTCCTAAGGAGCCTACCCTCTTCACCCTGGGAAGTTCCTAAGTGGTCAGAGAGGAGGATTCTTCTCTCTGGCCAGATCCTCTGTCGACTTGGAGTGTGTTTCTCCAAGCTGCTTCTCATGTCTCTGGCTTTTGTGGGATCATTTGTCAGTTATCATGGCCAACCTTGGTCTCAGCTCAGTTCGCCTGCAGTGGCCCTTTCTCCAACATGGCTGGGGTCTCTGTCTTTGCAACCCAGAGGAAGCTGACATCAGTGTCCCTTCCAGAATTGCCAGGACCCTTGTAGCAGCAGCTTGGTCCTTTCCACTCCTTTAGAGGCCAGAAGCAGTTTCTGAGTAATCCCTCCAGCAGAAACAACTCTGAACTGGAATCCTGTCCTAAGAAACAAACAGCTGTTATTAGGGTTTTTTCAAACGAGTTGTAGAACTCACATGTGCTTAGAAGCTCGGTGCAAGCAACACATGGGTTTTGTTCTGGGGCTTCTCCTTCCCAGGCTGGATGAATTGGGTGCTTGTATCACTGCAGATGCTGGGAAAGAGCACCCCCATTGCTGGGCCTAGGAATGGGGCCAGCTCATCACCGGGAGTGTGCACTGTCCAGCTTGACCACGCAAAGCGTTCCCTGTGAGGGTAGGCTGGCTGCGAGTGAGGGCCTCCGCTTGCATGGAGCTCACACAGTCTCCCTTTGGTTTGTTTCCCGCCCCAGTTCTGTCCTGAAGCCCCTCACCATGCCTGCCATTCAGATCTCAGAAGCGGAAGCCCCTCCGGAGGGTGACCAGACACCCAGCCTCACAGGTATATGTGCCTTGGAGGGGGAGGCTCCAGGTGGGACAAGCTGTGTGACACTGCTGCGACAGATGCTGTGGACGGTTAAATTCACATGGCTCAAGACCCCAAAAAAGTATTAAAAGGGGAAGACTTTTTTTTTTGGTACTGGTGATTGAACTTGGGACCTTGCCTCTCTGCAAGGCAGGTGGTGGAACCACTGAGCTAAATCCTAGCCCCCCCCAAGGTATTAAAGGAAAGAATTAAACATCTCCCACCTCCTCTACCCACCAGAGCTTCCCTCCCTAAAAGCACTCTGAGCATGTCCTTCAGGAGAGTTTCCACTTCCCCTTTTTACACTACTGGGAACATTTTGCACGTTGCTCTTTTCATTTATTAGGTTAGCTTGGGATTGTTCCACACGAATGCATAAAGAACTTCCTCCTCTGTGGTAGCTCTGCAGTGCCCCACTGTATGGAAAAATGATCATTTATTCAATCACCCTTCGACAGACTTTTAGGTCACAGTCAGTCTTTGCTGTGACAACACAGGTCACAAGCAGTGTCCCGGTACATGTGTTGTTTGATACATTTGTTCAAGAGGGGCCGCTGGGTCTGAGGCTGTGTGCATTTGTAATTTTGACAGATATTAATTTGCAAATCTCTCTCTCTAAAGCATGAATAGATAACATCAACTTACTTGTGCGTGACAGTTCGCTTAATGTCAGTGTTTTAGATTTATAGACATAAATATGTCATGACCCTCACTATAGTTCCATATGGTGGGTGCTATTGTTACCCCACTTTGAGCTGAGGAAACTGAGGCACAGAGAGGCTAGTGACACAAGTATACAGCAGTGGGGGCCTGGGATTTGAACCTGGGAGCCTGGCCCTGAGGTCAGTGCTCTGCACCTTTTACTGTATTATTTCTTGGTAAATTATGTGTTGTGTTATTCCTCTACCAGGATATTTTTGTTTTGTTGATTCTTTTGGTACTGGGGATCGAACTCGGGTCCTCGCGCTTTCAAGGAGGTAGGCAGTGGAACCGTTGAGCTAGATCCCCAGCCCTCCAGCGGATATTTTTATAAAATATGTTCTTGAGCTGGATTTGGTGGTTCACACCTATAATTCAGGAGGCCACGGCAGGAGGATCACAAGTCTGAAGCCAGCCTGGGCAATTTAGCCAGACTTTCTCCAGATGAAAAATAAAAAGGGATGGGGATGCAGCTCACCGTGCGGCTCTTGGTTTAATCCACAGTGTCACACAACACAACACAACATACATTATTTGGGGAGGCAGTGGGTGCTGTATCATCAGCCACCACGTAATGGCGTGTCACTTGCCACGTCCCGCTTCCAAGTACCCTGAGCTCATTTGTCCTCTTCTCTCAGACTCCCGGGGCCTGAAGCCCGTGCAGGAAGACACCCCACAGCTTATGCGCACGCGCAGTGATGTTGGGGTGCATCGGCGTGGTAACGTGAGAACGCCCAGTGACCAGAGGCGAATCCGTCGCCACCGCTTCTCCATCAATGGCCATTTTTACAACCACAAGGTAGAATCGCTGTTGGAAAGCAAGCAGAAAGGGAGAGGACACCTTGGGGGGGGGCCCACATCCCTTCTTGGGCTTCTGTCGCCTCAGGGCTCCCACTGGTGTGGTCCCTGCGCACCGGGAAGCCAAGTGCTTGCCCTTTAGTGTTTGGGTTGTTGTACTGGCTTTGTGAAGGATGGGGAGCCCCAGGTCAAGGGACGCCCTAGGGTGGTGGCTGAGCTCAGTGGGGCGGAACAAAGCCTTGAGTGCCCCATAAACACTGGGGAACCATCTCTGCCCTCCTGCAATCAGAGCTGTGGGGTCCAAATGGGCACCCAGCCCTCCGGCGCCTTTCCCCACACTAGCTGGCTCCCCCAGAAGCTCCTGTGGGGAGGGAGGGCCCAGAGGCCTCCCGTGCCTGCGTCCTGGGGAAGGGGCCCCCTGAGTGTTTTATTGGAAAGGGTCTGATTATCTCCTCCAACTTCCCCCGCCCCGCCTTCCGGGAGCACGAACTGAGTTAGGCCGACCCCAGGGGCTGTCTACACCAGCACTGCTGCTCGCCAGGAGCACCACTGACACCTCGACTGGCCTTGCTCTGCCCCTGTCCCCATGCCCGCCCTCAGCCCAAATCCTTTGTCCACAGACTTCCGTGTTCACGCCTGCCTATGGCTCTGTCACGAATGTGCGAATCAACAGCACCATGACAACCCCGCAGGTCCTGAAGCTGCTGCTCAACAAATTTAAGGCAAGTTTCCTTTGCGGGCTGTGTACCCTGTGGGCTGCGGGAGGGGTGGAGTAGAGGGCTATGGAGAGAGGGTGGTTTGGGGGTGCTAGACAGAGTTAGGTTCTTTAGACCCTTTCACGGTTCAAGGCATCAGCATTACCCAGCATTGTGTTAGAAAAGCAGGTTCTGCTGGGTGTGGTGGTGCACGGCTTTAGTCCCAGCACTAGGGAGGCTGAGACAGGAGGATCAATGTGAGTTCAAGACCAGCCTGGGCTACATAGTGAGTTCCAGGTCAGTCTCAACTACGTAGTGAGACCCTGTCTCAAAAAAAGCAAAAAAAAAAAAAAGAAAGAAAAGCAGGTTCTGCCTGGTGTTCTGGTGCACACCTGTAATCCCAGCACTTGGGCGGCTGAGGCAGGAGGGTTGGATTGCCAAAAGTTGGAGGCCAGCATGTGCTACATAGTGAGCTCAAGGCCAGCCTGAACTACATAGTGAGACCCTGTCTCAATAAAATAAATACATAATGAAAGAGGGGGCGCATTCTTAGGCCCTCTTCTGGACCTGCAAAGCCAGGAAGCCTGTTCGAGGAGCCTGCGGGAGCTGGGCAGCCTGCCGAAGTTTGAGAAGCCTTGTCCCTCAGGTCCTTTTTTCTCCCCCACTAGAACTCCCCTGGAGCCTGACCTCTGCTTTTGGGCTCAGCGCATGAATTAACTCGTAGGACGCAGCTGGGGGGTCGGGCTTTGAAAAACTGGTACTTAGATGTACACATTATCCACCTCTTGGGAGGCAAGGCAGACTGCTGAGAGTTTGAGGCCAGCCTGAACTACATAGCAAGACCCGGGTTCAAATCCCTGTACCTCCTATTAGCTGCCCGAGCGGGCAAGTGAGTCTGGCTCCCTGTGCTTCTGCCTTGGCATGTGTAAAAGGAGGACAAGGAGCATGTGTCATGCGTGTGGGGCGAGTGCAGCCATGTGAAAAGAGCAGAACTTTATAGCACAGTCGGTCTGAACTCTGAAATGCTCCAACAGCTGACATTTTCTGAGTGTTAATGTAACACTACAAAAGTTTCAGATGGAGCATTTTGAATTTTAGATTTTTGGATTAGGTTTACTCAGCCAGTAAAGTGTGAAAAACTCCAGAGTTGGAAACATGTCTGGTCCCAAACATTTGAGACGAATACAGTCGACCTGCATCACCCATTACTGCTGGTAGAGTCACCTGCCCCCCACAGCTCCTCGACCCTTCCAAGAGCTGTAAACAGAAAGCCTTCTTCTCTGCAGGGCCTAACAGAGGGAAGAGCCCAGAGCGCAGACATTTAAATACAAGCTTTTAACAAGTTTCTTTTGCTTCCAATTCAGATTGAGAATTCGGCAGAGGAGTTTGCTTTGTACGTGGTCCACACCAGTGGTGGTAAGTCTGTGGAACATAGAGTACTTTAAAACTTTTAATTAACTCAGAATAGCAAGTTAAAAAAAAACAAAACAAAACAAAACAAAAAAACTCTCTGCCTCACTCAGTTGTATGGGTTTTGGAAACTTCCAAATGTTGTTTGCTTCCAAGAATGGTGGTGCTTGAGTCCCATGGAGAATGACATATGGGCTGTGAACAAACCCTAAAACCAACTGCCTATTAAAAAAGGAACTGGGTTTTCTGAGAGACAGATAAACCCAGTTTCCCCAAAGGGGCATCCTCCTGAGCCTGCAGCACAGTGGTGCTGCTGAGGGCAGAGCTGTGCGAAGAGGCTGCTCTCAGCAACCCTGATTGAATAGTTTATTTACAGATCCATCTCCTACCTTGTGTGGCTGCATCTCCTATGCTGCCAGTCAGCTGGGGACCCCTGAGTTGACCACTCACTGCAGGCCAAACTGAGGGGAGCTCCTGGTTGTGTGTGGTTCCAGAGAAACAGAAGCTGAAGACCACCGATTACCCGCTGATTGCCCGCATCCTGCAGGGCCCCTGCGAGCAGGTCTCCAAGGTGTTTCTGATGGAGAAAGACCAGGTGGAGGAAGTCACCTATGACGTGAGTGCCCTTGTCCAGGCGGTCTGTCCTCAGGAGGATGGGGATTTGGCCACAGACCATGACCGCTTTTGCTGCCATTCTTCAATATCAGCTTTTCTTGAGGCTGGTCGGGGGTGTACCCTATAGGGATTGTGGGAGAAATGCTTAGTTAGGCAGGGAGGGATTTCCACAGGAAAACATGAATTTTGTGAGTCTTTCTAGGGTGCTGTAACAAGTTACAGAAGTCTTATAAACACTTTTAACAGCATTAGCAGTAGCTGGGCATGGCGCTGCATGCCTGTGATTCTAGCACTCTGGGAGACTGAGGCAGGAAGATTGCAAGTTCAAGCCAAGCCCAGGCAACTTAGTGATTTGACAAGACCTTCTTTCAAAATTAAAAATAGAAAAAGATCTGGGGATGTAGCTCTTTATTGTTCCAATTTTAGTATATATGCTGCCTAAGCAAGCACAAAATATGGCGGTTTTTGTTGGTACCGGGGATCGAACTCGGGCCCTTGCACTTTTGAGGCAGTTGGTGGAACTACTGGGCTAAACCCCCAGCTCTATCTCAGTGTGAAAGCCCTGGGTTCAATTACCAGTAGGTGTAGGGGTTAAAAAAAAAAAAAAAAAAGGAAAAA